GTTATGGAGTGCAGGGTGACCCAGGAAAAGCGAGTTGCAGGGGTCTCTATTGTGACCATGCAGCATTGATTGCGGTCTGCCACCCCGCCGCCTCATGTTCCCAAGGGGAACAGCCAGGCTGGCAACCGGCATCCAGGCCATAACTGCAAATCTATGCTAGGCAGGGTCTCCCTTCTGTGTGTTCAAGTGTTCTCGACTTGGATTTTTAACTATTTAAAAAAATGCGGGCCGGGCGCGGTGGCTCACACCTGTAATACCAGCCCTTGGGGAGGCCAAGGTGGGTGGATCACGAGGTCAAGAGATCGAGACCATCCCAGTCAACATGGTGAAACCCCGTCTCTACTAAAAATACGAAAAATTAGCTGGGCACGGTGGTGCATGCCTGTAATCCCAGCTACTCAGGAGGCTGAGGCAGGAGAATTGCCTGAACCCAGGAGGCAGAGGTTGCGGTGAGCCGAGGTCGCGCCATTGCATTCCAGCCTGGGTAACAAGAGCGAAACTCCGTCTCAAAAAAAAAAAAAAAAAAAAAAAAAAAAAGAAATGCACTGAGTTTGGGTTAAAAACCAACCACCAAAATGGATTTCAACACAGCTCTAAAGTCAAGAGTGTGCCCGGCTCTCTGAACACAGCACCTCCTGGAGGCCAGGTGCCCACAGGCCTACATCCCCTTTCAGCACTGAACAATGAGTTGATTTTTCTTTTTACAATTAAAAAAGCTGAGTAATATCACATAGGAGTACCAGAAACTGCCTCATTGTAAACAAAAACTATTTACATTAAATAAAAAGCCTGGCTGCAGGCTGCATCCGCCACATTTACAAAACGGTGACCAAACCACGGAGGCAGCTTCTGGCACTCACACGTGAGAGTAAAGCAGAGGGCGAGAGGAGTGAGGGAGGGGGTCGCACTCACTTCAGGTTCCAGGGCTGACTGACAGCCAGTCCAGTCCTTCAGAGCCCGGCACCACTGGTGGCCTGAATGTACCCGTTCCTGCGGTGTAGGGAGTGCAGCCCAGCTTGTCTGTGATCTCAGCCGCATTCATGGCGTTGGGGAGGTCCTGCCTGTTGGCCAACACCAGAACAGCATCCTGGAGCCCGTCCTCAGCCAGCATCCTCATGAGCTCTTCAAAGGCCTCGTTCATGCGCTCTGTCATTGCTGTCCACCACGAAGATCAGGCCTTGTGCGTGGTGCCACGGAGGCCGGATCTTGTCCTGGCCACCCGCATCCCACGCAGCGAGGCTGATGTCCTTGTACGCCACGGTTTCCACACTGAAGCCTATGGTGGGAATGGTGGTCACGATCTCACCCAACTTTAGCTTGTACAGGATCGTGGTCTTCCCCGCAGCATCCAGGCCCACCGTGAGGATGAGCATTTCCTTTTTGCCGAAAAGGTCCTTGAAGGGGTTGGCGAAGGTGTTCCCCATGCTTGCGGACAGGCGGAAGGACACTGGCCAGGGACACCTCAGCGGCTGCTGCCAGGCGAGGTTTCGCTCCCACAAGATGGCGGCTCTCCTCGAAGCATCTTTTTAAGTGGCACTATGTATTTGTGGTATAAGCATCCTTGGTGTGCTTTAACCAGTGGCTTCAGTTGTGGCCGGCGGGGGTCTCTTTGGGTGGGCCTCAGGCCCTGAGGTCTTCACAGCTTCGGTTTCCTCCTCCATCTCCTGATCCTTGCCCAGGCACATTCAGCCCTCCTCTGGCTCCTGGAGCCTCTGAAACAGTGACAGTTGCTTCTATGCACAGACCTCACTCTACACCAGCGTGGATCCCAGGTCTGCCTCTGCTGACGGACCTTTTTCCTCATCGTGGGTCATATTTTTCCTGCTTTGCATGTCTGGTAACTTTGATGAGAGGCACACATTGTTCACTTTCCCTGTTGGGTTCTGAGTGTTTGTATTCCCATCAAATATCCCTGCGCCTATCCTCTCCAGCCTTCTGAGCTTTGTGAGTGTGGACCAGCACAGCCTTCACTCCTGTCCCACAGCCGACCAGCCTGCCTGCTGCCCCTGGGCCACGAGGACACCCTGGGGCCAGGAGGAGTGTAAAGACTCCAAGCCCTGTTCCGCCAGCTTCCTTCCAGAGTCCTTCCCAGCTCTGGGCGCTCCCGCCTGCCCCATCCTGGAGCTCTGGCTGTGGGCAGATCCTCCTCTCTGCCCCTGCCCTGTGGCCTCCCTGGCTGCCAGCTTTGTTTCCTCCACCCAGCTCTTCTCCCTGAGTGCTCTCTCAGGGATCATGGCCCATGGTACCTGATGCCCAGTATCTGAGAATCCTTGGATGTATTTTCAGCTGCTTCAGGGAAGAGGGTAAACTCGGGCCCTGCACACACATGCTGGTGGTGAAGAGAGTGAAGCTCTGAGCTTTGCCTCCAGCAGGCGTGAAAATACGTACTTTGTAGTCAGTGCTGCCCCTTGGAGTTTTGATCTGCTTTGCAGTTCCATGTGTTTCACGAGAAAATTCAGGGAGACACAAAATTCTTGCTACTGCCACCATGTTCCCATAATCCACGAGGATTTATTTAGGTATTTATTTTATTTTGAGACAGGGTCTTCTTTTGTCATCCGGGCTGGGACTACAGACGTGAACTGCACTGGCCTCCAAAAGCATTTTTAGCTCAGGCAAAAGGGAATAAGGTTCAATGGGAAATGGGAAGAAGGTTCCATAGTACATGGATAGAATGTTCAATACCCCCACCCTTGGGCCTTGGCTGAGTGGGTCCCAGGAGGGTGTGGGTGGGATACGCGATGGCTGCCGATGGGCCACGGATGGCTGGCGTGGGCATGAGAGGAGGAGGGTGCAGAGGACTCTGGGCTCTTGCCTGAGGACTGGTGGGGGGGGGTGTGGGGTGCTGGAGTGCACAACAGACTCAGGAAGGCCTGGGGAAGCCATCCTGCCATGTCGCGTTTGAGCTTCCTAATGACATTCAGCAGAAACAGAGCTGAACACAGAGCACAGGGCTCAGGGTAGAGGCCAGGCACAGCTGACAGCCCGCAGGAGAGAAGCAGCAGCCCAGAGGAAGGGTTTGTGCCTCCCTGAGGAGGGGCCTGGGGCTGGGAGCTGGAGTTAAGTTGTAAACTGCAGCTTACTGCTCTGCCTCTTCCTGGGGCCACCGCCCTCCGCCCAGGACTGCTCCTGGCCCTTCTAGCCACCTGCCTTGCACTCCCTGCACCAACACCTTGCTCCTGCCTCCTTCAGGGATGACCCCCCAGCCCTCCCCTCCACATCTGAGGCCTGTCTTCCCCAGTTGAAAACTGCAGTCAGGGCTCTTGAGGAGGGCGAGCTGCTCCAGCACCCCAATCCCAGGCAGCCCTCCCCAGTGGGCACCTCCTCTGCCCTGGGCCACCCCATGGCTCCGGGGAGCCCTCCCTACCTCCCCTCCCATGGCCGCAGCAGTGCGCCTGGGAAAGCTGTATACGTTCACATCTCTGCTCTGTGCCCTCCTCCCACCTCAATAACGCGCCCGCCCAGTGCTGGAGGTCTCTGGAGGGCCCCAGTTCTTCTCGGTCTCCTCTCAGCAGCGGACCCAAGCCGTGGCTGGTGGCTGCTCCCCGAGGTCCGACTCCTGACTTCTCCAAGGGGTGTGCCACGGCTGGTGGAGGCTCCGCGGGGTCCGACTCTTGACTTCTCCACGTGGACGGCTGCGGGGTCACTCCCTGGGCCACCCCCTCTCCAGATGAGACAAGCTAACGACTCCCCACTCCTGTTCCACGCCGACATCCCACAGCGCCAGCGTCCCAGCCCACGATAGTCTAGGACCCGGAGGGTCCCCCAGCGCAGGGCGGCCCCGTCGGTCTCCTAGCCCCTCTGTGGCCCCGCCCCCTGCTCCGCCCCTGGTCCTCGCGCCCCGCGGGTCCCTCGGCCGAGTCCTGCCCCGACGCGCCTGCGCCCTCTGACCACGCCCATGCCCGCCCCTACCCCGCCCCTTACCTCCCGGCCCCGCCCCCGCCCCGGCTGCGGGGTGGGAGCCGAGCCGCACATCGCGCATGCTCTGAGAGCGGCGCCCCCGACGCGGCGCTCGGCTCAGCTCGGGCATTTCCGCCTCTTTGTTTTAAACTCCGGACGGGCTTTTTTTCTCCTCCTCTTGGGGGGGACCCAGAGGGAGCGGCGCCCCCTCCCCCCTCCGGCGAGGACCCCGTGTGCGCTCCGCTCGCCCGCAGCCCCGAGACCGCAGGTCAGTCAGTCCGCCCCGCCTGGCCTGGGCCTGTGGCGCCCGCTCCTCAGGCTGCGGCCTCGGCCCGTGTCCGGCCCGGAAGGCTCAGAACCCCCGGCCGGCTCTCCGGTATCCCCGACGGCCTGGCCGGGGAAGCCCTTGGCAGGCCCCGGAGAGGGTTGGAGCCCGGGAGGCCCGGCACCCCAGCCCGGGCAGGACTCCGGGAGGTCGAAGACCCCAGCCCTGGCGGGACCCAGATCCCAGCCCAGGCGGGACCCCGGGAGGGCCGAGACCTCAGCCCAGGCGGGACCCCGGGAGGGCCGAGACCTCAGCCCAAACAGGACCCCGGGAGGGCCGAGACCTCAGCCCGGGCGGGACCCCGGGAGGTCGAAGACCCCAGCCCGGGCGGGACGCCGGGAGGGCCGAGACCTCAGCCCGGGCAGGACGCCGGGAGGGCCGAGACCTCAGCCCGGGCAGGACCCCGGGAGGGCCGAGACCTCAGCCCGGGCGGGACCCCGGGAGGGCCGAGACCTCAGCCCGGGCGGGACCCCGGGAGGTCGAAGACCCCAGCCCAGGCAGGACCCCGGGAGGGCCGAGACCTCAGCCCGGGCAGGACGCCGGGAGGGCTGAGACCTCAGCCCAGGCGGGACCCCGGGAGGGCGGAGACCCCAGCCCAGGCAGGACCCCGGGAGGTCGAAGACCCCAGCCCAGGCAGGACGCCGGGAAGTCGAAGACCCCAGCCCAGGCAGGACCCCGGGAGGTCGAAGACCCCAGCCCAGGCTGGACGCCGGGAAGTCGAAGACCCCAGCCCAGGCAGGACCCCGGGAGGTCGAAGACCCCAGCCCAGGCAGGACGCCGGGAGGTCGAAGACCCCAGCCCAAACAGGACCCCGGCAGGGCGGGGAACCCAACCCAGGCAATACCCAGGCAGGACCCATACCCCAGCCCAGGCGGGACCCCGGGAGGGCCGAGACCTCAGCCCAGGCAGGACTAGGAAGAGCCAAGACCCCAGCCCAGGCAAGACCCCAGCGGAGGCAGGACCCTGGGAGGGCCAAGACCCCAGTCGAGGCAGGACCCTGGGAGGGCCAAGACCCCAGCCCAGGCAGGACCCCGGGAGGGCGGGGAACCCAGTCCAGGCAGGAGACGCAGGGAGGGTAAGACCCTAACCCAGGCAGGACCCCAGGAGAGCTGGGTCCTCAGACCAGCCAGCACCTAAAGAGAGTTGGGCCCTGGGACTGCACAGGACCCCCAGCATGCCAGGACAGGTCATCCAGGAGGGTCTGACCCTGGGACAGGCCACCAAGAAGAGCTGGGACCCCAAGATGGGTCACCAAGGAGGGTTGGACCTGGCCACCTGGCAGGGACCAGGGAGGGCTAGGACCCTGGGAAAAATCACGGAGGAGGATCAGACCTAGGGACCAGGCAGAACCCAAAGAATGCCAGAACCCCAGAATAGGTACCCAAGGAAGGTCCCACCTTAAAGTGGGCCACAGATGAGGGTCAGGATCCCACGACTGTCGCTCCGGAGGACCTGACCCTGAGACCACCCCGTCTCCCCCGGAGGGGTAGGACCCTGAGACCACCCCATCTCCCATGGAGGGATAGAACCCTGAGACTACCCTGTCTCCCCCGGAGGGGTAGGACCTTGAGACCACCCCATCTCCCACGGAGAGATAGAACCCTGAGACAGACAGCTTCATCTCCCCAACCCCAGACCCTGAGACCACTCCATCTCCCCGGGGGGGGGGGGGTGGGCTCGGACCCTGAGAGATGGCCCCATCTCCCCCATCTGCTGGGACCCTGAGATCGCCCCATCTCCCCTGGGGGGGCTGGGAGCCTGAGACAGCCCTGTCTCCCCTGGGGGCTGGGAGCCTGAGACAACCCAGTCTTCCCCCCAGGGGGAGCTGAGACCCTGAGACGGCCCCATCTCCCCCCTGGAGTCTGGGACCCTGAGACTGGACAGTGAGAGGGACTTGTGAAGTGGACAGGGTCCTAGATGACCAGGACCTCAAATGGGGTCACTTAGGGTTGGGACACTGAGTATGGATGAGGGGAGGGGAGAAGGCTAGGCTTTCAAGGAGGACCTGATGAGCTAGAACTTCCAGAAAGGTCCTCAGAGGAGCTGGGACTCCCGAACAAGTCCCTGAAGAGCATGTAGATCCCAAGACTAGATTGTAAGAAGTACTGGGACCCTGGGGTGCGATCCGGAGGTGTACTGAATCTGCCTAGCCCACTCAGCTGGACGCACCTGCTGTGAAGGCCCAGGCATCTGGCATCCTGGTACCTGAGGCCCTTTCCATGAGACCCTGGCCCAGCCCCACAGCCCCTGCACACAAGCTCCCCAGGCTGGGACCTGGGGCAGGTATGAGGCAGGGGACTCAGGGTTCCAGGAGCTCCCAGCCCACAGGCTCCATGCCTCAGGCTGGCACTGTGCCCTCCCCTCCTCTCAGCCCCTCGTCCAGGGCTGCTGTCCTTCCCTCGCCTTGGCTATGGTTGGTGTCCAGCACCTTCAGCCCTCCTGCCCCTCTCCCCACCTCCAAGGTTACCTGAGTGCCCCCTTCCTCAGTGTAGAGGCATTTTCACTGTCTGGGAGACTCAAAGGAGGGGGGGATCTGAGCTGGGATGTGGACTCCTGGGCATATTTTGGGGACAGTTGGTCTGAGTCAGGGAAGTTGGAGCAGGCATGACTGTTTCCCACTCCGTCTCCACTGCAGGAAGGGAAGGAATTGAAGCATCCTGGTTGGGGGGCATGGGGTGGAGGTCTTTATTTCTCTCAAACCTTTGAATCAGCCTTTCATCTAGAATTTGTGGGTGTTTTCCTTTAATTTGGAAGTGGTAATGAAAGCGTGGGGTGCAGTTTTTATTCTGCTGAGGTGTTCACAGTGAGTGGTCTGTGCTGTCCTTTGACTAGGGAAGATCGTGTCAGGGTGTTTCTTGAGGGTGGTCAGCCTGGGAGCCCGCTCCTAGAGGGTACGGCATGGTTGCTAGCATGCAGCGCACATTTCCTGAAAGAGTGAATGATGCATGAACAAATGAATGAAAGGCAGTAGATCCTCAGAGACATCCACTCGGATCAGGTGTGCACAGTTGCCTGGAAGCTGGGCAGTAAGATGAGGTGTAACCCTAAAACTCTAGCTCTGTGGACTCCCAAGAGAGACACTGAATTAGATGGTTCGGGATTTCATCTTTGCCACAACTTCACTTCTTGGTTACTTAGGAGAAAACCACTTTAGGTTTTCAGCTTAACATTTGAGGGTACTGAATGTCAGCCAAATGTGTCCCTGCCTGGTCAGCCTAGACCTAGAAGCTTTTATTTGCCCGATGTAACCGCCTGGGACCTTTTACTTAACACTTCCTTCTGATTTGCTCTTTTGACATATCCTTACTGTCTTTAAAACTTAATTTGCTTTGTGAAATTGTGGAAGAGGCTTGTGAAGCTGAGTATTCAGGTTTGTTTGGCTCTGTGCTGTCTGGTTCCCAGGTTTTTAGAGGTGTGGTTGTCCTGAGTGGAGCAGATTACCCCAAACCTGTGCCTTAAACCGACAGTCAGATAGTATCTTACTGTTTCTGTGGGTCAGGGCTCCAGGTGGGCCCTCTGGCTCAGGAGGCTCCCATCTGGGGCTGTGTCTCCTCTGGCTCAGGGGGCTCCCATCTGGGGCTGTGTCTCCTCTGGCTCAGGGGGCTCCCATCTGGGGCTGTGTCTCCTCTGGCTCAGGGGGCTCCCATCTGGGGCTGTGTCTCCTCTGGCTCAGGGGGCTCCCATCTGGGGCTATGTCTCCTCTGAACGCTGGACTGGGAGCGTTTGCATTCAGGCTGCATCATGTGACTGTGGGCTGGAGACCTCAGTTCCTTTCTCTATAGGGCAGCTCCGAGGGTGCCCACGCCAAGCCAGAGAGGGACAGGAAGGACGTCCCAGACTGTGGAGTGACATTCTATCACTTTTGCCAAATTCTCTTTGCCAGCAGTGAGTTGTTAGGCCCCTCCATGGTTGGGAGGGAACTCCGAACGGTGAGCATACCGTGGGCAGGTGTGGTCACCGGAACCACCTAAAGCCTGCCCAGCGTAGTGGTGCTGTGAGCCTGGCATCTGCCAGGGCACTGGAGAGACAGCCCGTAAGTGAATGGCGTGTAGACTGATGTGTTAAGACGAGGATGTGACCATCCAGCTGTCTCTTTAATTGCTGTGGGTTTCTCCCATGTCACTGTCGGGATTGAGATATTTGTGATGTGTAAAAGAAGATAAATTACAGGTAGAAAAGATTCTTAGGAATTAACTTGCAGTTTGGAATATGAGTAGCCGTAAGACTCCACAAATTAAATGACAGGGTGTGTCACTAATGTCAGATTCTAACAGCTTCAAGTGCAGTGTTTTACTTGTCCTCAGCGTCCCCTCATTTTATTCCTGCCAGTGGTCTTGCTCCAGAAATTATCAACCGACTTCCGTTACGTTTTCCTAAACCACTTTAAATATATGTTGGAAATGTTTTTACTGGTCAATGTCGGCCTCGTGCCCACGGTTATTTGTGACTTCATAACGGTGCTGTAGGAGACGTGAGACCCTGACCGTGTTGGACATTTGGCCCGTGTGAGGGCTTAGGTCCAGGGTGCAGGCACCACTGCCATCCAGAGCCTCTGCCCCCAGCCCACACCCTCCGCCCCACAGGGAGCTGGACCCACCCCTCCCTGCAGTTCTGGGCTGCAGCCAGGGCCGTGAAGGGGCCCTGTCCTGGACTCTGGAGACCTCAGCCTGCCCCTCCTACCACGCCGCACTCCCCAGACGTTCAGCGGCTCTGGCAACCTCCAGGAGCAGTAGGGGCCCTTCGCCGGGGGCTAGAATCATTTACTTGGGTGTTTTCATTTGGGTTATGAAGTGAGTCTTGTTTGGGTGTATACTGTTCCTCTTTTTTTTCTTTTTTTTTTTTTTAGACAGAGTTTTGTTCTTGTTGCTCAGGCTGGAGTGCAGTGGCGCGATCTCGGCTCACCGCAACCTCCGCCTCCCAGGTTTAAGAGATTCTCCTGCCTTAGCCTCCCAAATAGCTGGGATTATGGGCATGCATTACCACACCCAGCTCATTTTGTATTTTTTAGTAAAGATGGGGTTTCTCCATGTTCAGGCTGGTCTTGAACTCCCAACCTCAGGTGATCCACCCGCCCCAACCTCCCAAAGTGCTGGGATGGCAGGCGTGAGCCACTGCACCCGGCCACCGGGCATGAGCTGAGATCGCACCACCGCACTCCAGCCTGGACAACAAGAGCAAATGGCAGGATTTGTTATTTTGTTTGCAGCCTTGCAATTGAAGTTGAAATGTCATTTTTCAACAAAATTAGCCAGCCATGGCGGTGAGCACCTGTAATCCCACCTACTCAGGAGGCTGAGCCAGGAGAATTGCTTGAACCCAGGAGGTGGAGGTTGCAGTGATCTGAGAGCACTACTGTCCTCCAGTGTGGGTGACAGAGCAAGACTTTGACTCAAAAAAAAAAAAGAAAAGAAAATGTAATTTTTCTTTTACCGTTGAAATACAGTGAGGTTTAGGGACAGTTTCCTGTTGTTGATCTATTTTTTATTCTGATATTTGCTGTTGATATTGCAAAAATATGGCACAATTCATTGTGCTTTAAAAATTGAAATTATTTTTAATTTCCTACATTGATAGTTTATCATTGAATTTTAAAAATGTGAGGCCTTAAGAAAAACAACAGAACTATCTTTCCCTGTCGGCCACATTTCTCCCATAGAACCGAGTTATGCAAAAGTCAGAGCGACAAAGAGCAGCAGTGAACATTGCCCGGGTGCGCTTTTGTGGGATTATCCCCTAAATTAAGCAAACCTCCCATGGATAGGAACTACTACTCTCTGGAAAATATAGTCCTTCAACCTGTTATATTAAAGATAAACTCTAATTTTTTTGTTGTTGTTTTGTTTTGAGATGGAGTTTTGCTCTCGTTGCCCAGGCTGGAGTGCAATGGCATGATCTTGGCTCATGGCAACCTCTGCTTCCCGAGTTCAAGCAATTCTCCTTCCTTAGCCTCTGGAATAGCTGGGATTGCAGGTGCACGCCATCACGCTCTGCTACTTTTTTGTATTTTTAGTGGAGATGGGGTTTCACCATGTTGGCCAGGCTGTTCTTGATCTCCTGCCCTCAGGTGATCCACCCACATCAGCCTCGGAAGTGTTGAGATTACAGGCATGAGCCATTGTGCCCGGCCAATCAACTCTAATATTTACGTTCCCTTAGAGAGTGGGGGGTAATTGAGGTTTGTTGGCTTATTTTTTTTTCCCGCAAATTCGTTGATACTTGCTGGGCTTTGCTACATTAGCAGCAAATTCCAGACGTTTAATAAGCAATAGATGCAAAGAGGACATCTGTCTGCAGGCCTCCCTGAAACTCCCTCTAATCCATGGGTCCTGTGGGCCCCTGGGTGGGGGCTATGTGGCCTCATGGGTGCTATGTGACCTTGTGGGGCCTGTGGGGCCTTGTGGGGGCTGTGGGGCCTCATGGGGCTGTGTGGCCTCTGGGGGCCTCTGGGCCTTATGGGGCTGTGTGGGCTTGTGGGTTCTGTGTGGTCTCGTGGGGGCTGTGTGCTTCATGGCTCTTGTGGAGGCTGTGGGCCTGGTGGGTCCTGTGTGGACTTGTGGGGGCTGTGTGGGCTCGTGGGGGTTGTGTGCCTCGTGGGTCCTGTGTGGTTTCATGGGGGCTGTGGGCCTGGTGGGTCCTGTGCGGTCTTGCGGGGGCTGTGGGCCTGGTGGGTCCTGTGTGGTCTTGTGGAGGCTGTGGGCCTGGCGGGTCCTGTGTGGGATTGTCGGGGCTGTGTGAGCTCATGGGGGTTGTGTGCCTCGTGGGTCCTGTGTGGGTTCATGGGGGCTGTGGGCCTGGTGGGTCCTGTGTAGTCTCGTGGGGGCAGTTGGCCTGGTGGGTCCTGTGTGGTCTTGTGGGGGCTGTGGGCCTGATGGGTCCTGTGTGGTCTTGTGGGGGCTGTGGGCCTGGTGGGTCCTGTGTGGTCTTGTGGGGGCTGTTGGCCTGGTGGGTCCTGTGTGGTCTTGTGGAGGCCGTGGGCCTTGTGGGTCCTGTGTGGTCTTGTGGAGGCTGTGGGCCTGGTGGGTCCTGTGTGGTCTTGTGGAGGCTGTGGGCCTGGTGGGTCCTGTGTGGGATTGTCGGGGCTGTGTGGGCCTGGTGGGTCCTGTGTGGGATTGTCGGGGCTGTGTGGGCTAGTGGGGGTTGTGTGGTCTTGTGGAGGCTGTGGGCCTGGTGGGTCCTGTGTGGGATTGTCGGGGCTGTGTGGGCTCGTGGGTCCTGTGTGGGATTGTCGGGGCTGTGTGGGCTCGTGGGGGTTGTGTGGGATTGTCGGGGCTGTGTGGGCTCGTGAGTCCTGTGAGGGATTGTCGGGGCTGTGTGGGCTCGTGGGGGTTGTGTGCCTCGTGCGTCCTATGTGGATTCATGGGGTCTGTGGGCCTGGTGGGGCTGTGTTGGCTCATGGGGGCTGTGTAGGCCTCATGGATCCTGTGTGGCCTCGGGGCTGTCGGCCTTGTGGCTCATCTCCTATCTGGGTCTTGTGAGCTGTTACATCTCCAGGTTCTTGATTAGGGCCTGGCCCATATTCGGTGCTGAGTAAACAGTAGCTGAACACTGATCCTCATGGATGCCATGTGGAGCTGTTCTGAGCAGCGTGCGTATTAACGTGTTTGACTCCTGCTGCCGCCCAGGAATCAGACCAGCATGAGCCTGGCACAGCAGAGGGTGCACAGGGCCGGCGTGGGTGGAATGTGAGGCTTCCAGGGCTCGTCTTTTGACTTCTTCAATTTTAAGTGATTTTAATTTCCTTTTTTACCCAAATTTTTATTAAGAAAAAGAATCACAATAGAGAATAACGTGGAGAATTATAGTGAGTACCTGCTGTGGTCCAAACGTCTGTGTCCCCCAGAATCCATGGGGGGACCCTAATCCCCAAGGTGGTGATGTCGGGCGTGGGGCCCTCAGGAGGCTCTGCCTGGATGACCAGGGCTAGCCCCTTTCTATCACTGAGGACGTGAGGGAAGGCGCTGCCTGTGAGGACTCGGACCCCACTAGCCCCCAAATCTACCAGCATCTTGATTTTGGACTCCCAGCCTGCAGAACTGAGAAACGCGTTCTGTGGTTTGTCAGCTGCTTGGTATAAGGTGCTTCAGTCGCAGCCACCTGAACAGACCAGGATGGCACCCTCTGCCGCCCAGATCCACTTGTGCTTCCTCTCCTCTGAATACCTCCTGGATCCCGACAGGATGGGCCTTGCTGGGAAGGTTAGAGTCCCACCTGAGAGCAAGAACAAGGAAGGATCCCCATGCTGCTGCACCCCACTGTGATCCTCAGATGGTGGCACGTACTCCACAGTGGCAGCTGACCCTCAGGCCGCTTTCCCTCTCCCCAGCTGTGACAGCGGCACGTATTCCACAGTGGGACTGACCCCCAGGCCGCTCTGTGTCTCCCCAGCTGTCTTGAGAATGTTTCCACCTTTTCCTCAGCCAGAATCAGCTGGGGCCTGGCCTTGTCCTGGAGGTCCTGGCCCTTTTGACCCTGCCAGGCAAGATCCCCTGGCGCTGGAGGTCTTGTCTCTCTGTCCATGGACCCGGCTTGTGTCCTTTCCACCTGCTGGCTTCTGCCAGTCCAGCAGAGGCTTGGCCCTGACCCTTCTGTCTCTGCAGAGACCCTTGTCATTAGCTAAGGCACACCTGGCACTCCCAATTCTGAGTTAGCTTATTTGGGACCTTAATTCCACCTTCAAAAGTCCCTTTAGAGCAGACTTTGGGTCAGGATGTGAATAACTGGAGGATGTGTGTGTACACTAGAGCTCCAGATTCTCGGCACCGTTTCCAAATTTTGCCCACCGCAGTCTGGCCTCTTGTGACTCCAAATTTATATCCTTCACAAATGCACACTGCATTCACCCTTTCCCTTCCAAGGTTCCCAGGATCTTCTTGAGGGTGGCATTAGCTCAGAGGCCTGAGGTGATGTGTTCAGCATGGGTGCAGCACCAGGGTGGACCTGGGCGCTGAGATGGCTACTTGCCAGTTCAGGCCCAGCTGCTCTGTTCAAACAGGGACATGGAGCGAGCCAGGAGTCCCTGGGCCACAGCAGTTCCCATGCTAGAGGGGTGAGGGGGCAGACACCAGTCGGCTTCTTTTTTTTTTTTTTTGAGACAGAGTTTCGCTCTTGTTACCCAGGCTGGAGCGCAATGGCGCAATCTCGGCTCACCGCAACCTCCGCCTCCTGGGCTCAGGCAATTCTCCTGCCTCAGCCTCCCGAGTAGCTGGGATTACAGGCACGGGCCACCATGCCCAGCTAATTTTTTGTGTTTTTAGTAGAGACGGGGTTTCACCATGTTGACCTGGATGGTCTCAATCTCTTGACCTTGTGATCCACCCGTCTCGGCCTCCCAAAGTGCTGGGATTACAGGCGTGAGCCACCGCGCCCGGCTCACCAGTCGGCTTCTAATGAGGTTTCAGGCTGGAGGTCCTACTGGCCTTGGCCCTTCCCTTGGAGCTGCCTCACGTTTGCTGGGTTGAGCGTTGGCAATTGGGTAGCTCCGTCAGCTGCTCCCAGCCCTACAGAAGGGTCCCACAGCCTCTGGACCTGTTTTTACTTTCTCCTGCTTCTGTGCAGATTGAGCAAGAGAATTGGGCTTCTGTGCTGTGATCCTGTGGACACTGTGAGTGTGAGAATCAGGTGCTGGGACCCTATAGACTCCAAGTGTGAGAATCGGGTGTGGGTGCTGGGACCCTGTAGACACTGTGACTGTGAGAATCGGGTGTGGGTGCTGGGACCCTGTAGACAGTGTGAGTGTGAGAATCGGGTGTGAGTGCTGGGACCCTGTAGGCACTGTGAGTGTGAGAATCAGGTGCTGGGACCCTATAGACTCCAAGTGTGAGAATCGGGTGTGGGTGCTGGGACCCTGTAGACAGTGTGAGTGTGAGAATCGGGTGTGGGTGCTGGGACCCTGTAGGCACTGCGAGTGTGAGAATCGGGTGTGGGAGCTGGGACCCTGTAGGCACTGTGAGTGTGAGAATCGGGTGTGGGTGCTGGGACCCTGTAGGCACTGTGAGTGTGAGAATCGGGTGTGGGAGCTGGGACCCTGTAGGTACTGCGAGTGTGAGAATCGGGTGTGGGTGCTGGGACCCTGTAGGTACTGGGAGTGTGAGAATTGGGTGTGGGTGCTGGGACCCTGTAGGCACTGTGAGTGTGAGAATCGGGTGTGGGAGCTGGGACCCTGTAGGTACTGCGAGTGTGAGAATCGGGTGTGGGTGCTGGGACCCTGTAGGTACTGGGAGTGTGAGAATTGGGTGTGGGTGCTGGGACCCTGTAGGCACTGCGAGTGTGAGAATCGGGTGTGGGTGCTGGGACCCTGTAGAGAGTGTGAGAATCGGGTGTGGGTGCTGGGATCCTGTAGATGCAGTGTGAATGTGAGAATCGGGTGTGGGTGCTGGGACCCTGTAGGCACTGTGAGTGTGAGAATCGGGTGTGGGTGCTGGGACCCTGCAGGCACTGTGAGTGTGAGAATCGGGTGTGGGTGCTGGGACCCTGTAGAGAGTGTGAGAATTGGGTGTGGGTGCTGGGATCCTGTAGATGCAGTGTGAGAATTGGGTGTCGGTGCTGGCACCCTGTTGGCACCGTTAGCTGCGTTCTGAGTTTGCTCTCATTTCCTGGTGTTTTCTGGCTTTACCGTCTCCAGCTCTGCCTCTTGAGGGTCCCTTGCAGCCCCTGGCTCCCCTTGGCCTCTGTTTGTGTTTTCCTGTCCGAGGGCCTTGTTCTGCGGCCACTGCCTGCTGGTCCTGCAGGGCCCCTGTTGTCACCTCTGGTTGGCTACAGGCCTGTGGGACCTGGGGTGCGGGTGTCACTGAGCTCTTGCCTCCGTCTGGGGCCACCTGTTGCTTCCTCAACCTCCGCCTCCTGGGCTGGTCTCCTCCCGCAGTCTGCCCCTGCCACGCTGCCTCCTCACTGTAGGTGTGTTTTTTCAGTCATCACTCCCTGGCCATTGTTGTGCTGGTCCCAGCTGAAGCCTGATTGCGGTCGGCAGTGACCAGCCGGACGGGGCAGGTGCTGTGAACTCCACCTGGTGCCGAAGAGGCATTTGGCAGGCGTTTTCTGAGTGAGTGTTGGGGTGCAGCCTCCCTGAGACCTCTGGAAACACCTTTGCATCTTCTCTCCCTGAGTAGTCAAGATGCTGGGCAGGGAATTCTGTGTGGAAGGGCGTTTTCTTCAGCACTGTGGAAGAATGGTGTTTTCCACCTGTAAAATCCAGTGTTGCCATTGTCAAGTCAAACCTGGTCTTTTGTGGGGCTTCTCCCCCGGAGCTGCGGGGACCCCTCTGTTCCCTGAGACCCTGTAGTCGGCGGGGCGGGGGGGGTGGCTGTGTGTGATGCTCCGTGGCCCCTCATTCTGGCAGGATTGTTTCAGCTTCTGAGATGAAGACGGCCTGCGCAGGCCTGGAGAATAATACAGCAAGGCCTATGTGCTTATCATCCCGCTGGGGAAGTAAGATGAAGTATAATCAAAGCTCTCTCTCAGTTTTCTCTCTGCTTTCTGTAAGCCTATTAACGGATGCTGGAACTTTTCTGTCACCTGTGCTGTCTCTTTCTAGTGTTTGGGAAGATTTTCTCAACTTCATCATCCACTCCTTCTACTGAATTTTAATACTGCCAGGCACATGGCTGACATCACCATGTAGGGAGATGGCCAGGGAACAAGTCAGTACACTGTAATCTTAGAGCCCTGCTGCGTGTGCACGCATGGGCACGTGTGTGTGCGCATGTGTGTACATACGTGTGTGCGCCTGTGTGTATGCATGTGCGTACGTGCATGTGTGGGTGTGCGTGCATGTGTGTGTGCATGCATGTGCATGTGGGTGTACATGATTGCATGTGTGGGTGTGCCTGGGTGTGGGTGTGCATGCCTTGCGTGTGTCTGGGTGTGCGTGCATGTGGGTACGTGCATGTGTGTGTGTGTGTGTGTGTGTGTGCGTGTGTATGCATGTGCATGTATCTGGGTGTGCATGCCTGTGTGTGTGTGGGCCTGCATGTGTGTGCTGTCACCTAGGCTGGAGTATAGTGGTGCGGTCTCAGCTCATTGCAACCTCCGCCTCCCAGGTTAAAGAGATTCTCTTGCCTCAGCCTCCCAAGTAACTGGGACTACAGGTGTGCACCACTACGCCCGGCTAATTTCGTATTTGTAGTAGAGACTGGGTTTCTCCATGTTGGCCAGGATGGTCTCAAACTCCTGACCTCGTAAGCCACCCGCCCCAGCTTCCCAAAGGACTAGGATTCTAGGCGTGAGCTGCTGTACCCGGCCCTGTGCGCTTGCTTTTAAACAAGGTGGTCTCTGCAGCGTCCCTGAGGTGACACTGAGAAAAGGCTTGATAAGGTGCGGGTGGGCATATTCCGGCACAGGGTACTGTAAGGGAAGGACCGAGAACATCCTGTGGCAAATGAGGAGTCAGCGAGGCGGGGGCGGGGCCAGTGCAGAGGGAGGTGTGGGCTGATGGCAGGGCTGGGGCCTGACCTCGATGGCCCTGAGGAGCCTCTGTGTTACTCGGGCTTCTGTGTTTGGGGAGCCTGTGGATGCTGCGTTGAGGTCAGTGAGGTCTGGTGTGGCAGAGGTGAGGGTGCTGTGTGGGTGCCGGGTGCCCTTCTAGGCACAGAAGATTGGTTTCTAGTGAGGCCCATTGTAAGGGAGGTGTGGGTGGCTTGGAGGCATCTGGGGCTCCTAAAGCAACCTGCAGCCATCAGACATCTGGATGGGAGTTCATGGCGGGGTTGGGCTGGAGGTGCCTGGAAAGGAAACATGGAGTTGAGGGGCCGTGGGGCAGCCCAGGGTGCTGGGAACCGGGCTGCTGAAGTGCCCCCAGGATCCCCTGGTGTAACCTGCGTGGGCCTCCTGGATGTCTTCAGGCCTGGGGGGCCTGGGGGTGGGTGTCACTGAGCCATGCTCTGAGGCTGGTCATGACTGTTATCCTGGGGTGGGTGTCACTGAGCCATGCTCTGAGGCTGGTCATGACTGTCATCCTGGGGTGGGTGTCACTGAGCCATGCTCTGAGGCTGGTCATGACTGTCATCCTGGGGTGGGTGTCACTGAGCCATGCTCTGAGGCTGGTCATGACTGTCATCCTGGGGTAGGTGTCACTGAGCCATGCTCTGAGGCTGGTCATGACTGTCATCCTGGGGGTGGGTGTCACTGAGCGTGCCCAGGCTGGTCATGACTGTCATCCTGGGGGTGGGTGTCACTGAGCGTGCCCAGGCTGGTCATGACTCTCATCCAGAATGTACCTCAGGTCTTTGTATAAACTCAAATATTTGTATAAACACTTGATTTAAGAAATGAGAGCTGGGTGTCAGCCCAGCGGTGAAGCCTGTCTGGTCTTGGCCCTGCCGGTGTGAGCACCATGCTGTGTGTGTAGCTCCCACAGTGCCATGGTCCATGGAGGTGGGCTTGGCTGGCTCTGGCTGGGGGTTGGGGGTTTGGCTGCTCTAATACAAGCAAGACCCTGAGCACAGCTGGGAGGCAAGGACCAGGTGGGGGGCTCGGGGTCACAGGCTCGGGCAGGAGCCCGTGGCCCTCTGAGAGCTTTGTGGCCACAGTCGGGGCTGGACCACAGGGGAAGCAACTTTACTGTGGGGGTCACGTCCTGGCTTCAGGAGATGGAGCAGGGATCCTTACTGTCTTTTGAGTCACGGATCCTTCTGAGAATTAAATTCAAAGCACTGTCATGTTATATCATTGTGTTTCATTTTCTTTTTTCTTTTTTGAGATGAAATCTTGGCCAGGCCCTGTGGCTCACACCTGGAATCCCAGCACTTTGGGAGGCCGAGGCAGGTGGATTACCTGAGGTCGGGAGTTTGAGACCAGCCTGACCAACCCCTGTCTCTACTAAAAATACAAAATTAGCCAGGCATGGTGGCACATGCTTATAATCCTAGCTCCTCAGGAGGCTGAGGCAGGGGAATTGCTTGAACCCAGGAGGTGCAGGTTGGTGTGAGCCGAGATTGTGCCATTGCACTCTAGCCTGGGCAACAAGAGCGAAACTCCATCTCAGGAAAAAAAAAAAAAAAGAAAAGATTAAAAAGAGACAAAGTCTCACCCTGTCGTCCAGGCTGGAGTGCAATGGCTTGATCTCAGCTTACTGCAACTTCTGCCTCCCAGGTTCAAGTGATTCCCCGCCTCAGCCTCCTGAATAGCTGGGATTGCAGGCATGTGCCACCATGCCCAGCTAATTTTTGTATTTATAGTAGAGAAGAGGTGTCACCACATTGGCCAGGATGGTCTTGACCTCATGATCCGTCCACCTGGGCCTCCCAGTGTGCTGGGATTACAGGTGTGAGCCACTGCGCCCGGCCCTCATTTTCTTAAAAAAACTTTTGGGGTGACATAGCTGTGCAGAGAACCATTTAAAGTTTCCCTTTCCCCCAGCCTAGCTTATTTCCAGCTGGAAGGAGCAGAGAGTGTTTGTGGTGTGTTCTCTGGATCTGCACCAGGTTGATGAGAACCCTCGGTGCCTGTGCTGTCTTCTCGCCGGGTGCAGCTTGGGGACATGGTGGTGCTGGAGAGTGGTTTCCTGTGTCCCTCCCTGGCTGCTGTGAGCTGCCTCCCCATGTCCTGTGCCCCCAGCACAGGTTGGCGAGGGAGTTGTGTGTATCTGTGGAGCAGCTGTGTTGTGGGGTCCCATCAGCGAACAGGAGCAGGGCGTTCACGCCATAGGGAGGTAGAGAAGGAACAGTACATGAATGTGGCAGGTGCTGAGGGCTGCAGCAGAAATGAAGAGGCAAGGTGGGGCGGGGCAGGGCAGACGGGGCGTTTGGGGTCAGGCCGGCTGTGGAAAGGCCACAGCGGACCAGGTGCAAAGAAACGGGGCTGGAGGCCTGCAGTGGCCTGGCTGGGCCTCGTTTGTGTGCTGCCACTGCTGCAGTGATGCCAGGGCACTGGAGGGACCCCAGCCCAGCTCTTCCCGTGGCAGTGGGGTCGTGGGGGTTGCTTTAGCATGACTGGAACACAAGCGTTATCCGGGACCAGAGCTGTGCTGTAGCATACAATGTTGGGAAAAGAGGGTGTTGGGTCGGGGGCCAATTTCAGCAGTTTGGTCATTTTTGTGTGAAAATCAATGAAAACAGCTTTTGCAGAGCACGGTGGTGAAGGGAGGAGTGCCTCGGGCATTGACTGGACACTTTATCTTCTGAGTGGCAGCTGTGGACATGCTGTCCTGTTGTAAGGACACAGATGTGGCTCTGCAGCCAGAGTGTGCCATGCACAAGAGGGCCTGGCTGCACACAGCACACATGTGTCATTGAGGAGGGTGACTGTGGAGGAGGGTCCTGGCCGCACAGAGCACAAACGTGTCACTGAGGAGGGTGATTGTGGAGGAGGGTCCTGGCCGCACACAGCACAAGCATGTCACTGAGGAAAGTGACTGTGGAGGAGTGTCCTGGCCGTACACAGCACACGCATGTCACTGAGGCGGGTGGCTGTGTGCAGGAGGGTCCTGGCCACACACAGCACACACGTGTCACTGAGGAGGGTGACTGTATGGAGGAGGGTCCTGGCCACACACAGCATACACATGTCACTGAGGAGGGTGACTGTGGAGGAGGGTCCTGGCTGCACAGAGCACATGCGTGTCACTGAGGACAGTGACTATGTGGAGGTGGGTCTTGGCCGTACATAGCACATGCATGTCACTGAGGAGGGTGACTGTGTGGAGGAGTGTCCTGGCCACACACGGCACATGCGTGTAACTGAGGACAGTGACTATGTGGAGGTGGGTCTTGGCCGTACATAGCACATGCATGTCACTGAGGAGGGTGACTGTGTGGAGGAGGGTCTTGGCTGTACATAGCACATGCATGTCACTGAGGAGGGTGACTGTGGGAGGACACGGTGCCACAAGGGAGGGCAGTAGCGTGGTTTCAGCTCTGGGAGGTGGGCAGTCTGTCCTGAGAGGCGCAGGTTGTCTTGTGTGGTGGAGAGGAGCTGGCCCAGCCATGAGTGGGGAGGGCCTCCTGTTAAGGAGCCTTGTGCATGGCTAGGAGGGAGGGCAAGCCTGGTGTGGACACAGCCCTGACATCAGCAGAACCCTATGTGGATGTGGCTCTGATGTAAATGGTATTCTGCGTAGACGGGTGATAACATGAATGTGGACCCGGCATGGATCCAGCGTGGACATAGTCTAGACGTGGATCTGGCATGGACACAGCCCCAACGTGAATGGATGTGGCTCTGATGTGAACAGGACCCCACGTGGACAGGCGATGATGTGAGTGTGGATCTGGTGTGGACGCAGCCCCAACATGAAGGGATGTGGCTCTGATATGAATGGGACCCGGCGTGGATGGGCAGTGACGTGAGTGTGGACCTGGTGTGGACCTGGCATGGATACCACCCCGACGTGAATGGATGTGGCTCCAACGTGAACGGTCGATGATGTGAGTGTGGACCCGGTGTGGATGCAGCCCTGACGGGAATGGATGTGGTTCCGATGTGACCTCACTGGTGTGGGAAGCAGAGGGCGAGGCCCCGCCATGCTGTCAGGAGGATGTGTCAGATTTCTGTCTCTCAGATGCTGCTCAGGCTTGTCTGGAGGGTGAATTAGTGGGAGGGTGGCTTGGAGAGGGCTGTCCTGCATGGGTTTCAGCACCTGGACGAGAGCTCTGGCATGGTCTGGCAGCGGCTGAGGACAGCAGGAAGGGGAAGATGACCGCTG